AACTCTGTGCTAAGAATGTGGACACAGCTCATGTTTTGGTTGTAGAGTGACTGGATTGCTCTTAGYATCAACCCAGACACTCTAYACTCCTACAGCACCCCCCACAGAATGCCTCAAGAAAACATGGTCTAAAGCCTTCTCCAGGTCCACAAAACACATTCCACGACTTCCACGACCCCCTTAGCAGTATTGCAAGGCTAAAGTTCTGGTCCACTCTTCAGGATCAGGACAGAAGCCAACACTGCTCCTCCTGAATCCAAGGTTCCACAATCGATCAGAGCTTCACTTCCAACACCCTGGAGTAAACTTTCCCAGGGAGGGAGAGAAGTGTGATTCCATGATATTTAGAACACACTATTGGAACAGTTGTGTAATGAGCACCACTTGGAGGGTTGTGGGTTCTCTAAAGACGGCCATCTTTTATTTAGTATGTGTTTGGTATCTATTTGTTAATGAGATGTAAATGTACATCCAATAATTACTTTCAGCAGCTTGACAGCAGGTGATCATGTGGACAAACTACAAATAGTTTATAGGTGTCCTCTGTCTAGTCTTTGACCCAAAGGTTTGGAAGGAGAACATGAGTAGCACTGCTCTGAAGGTCAGCTCTACAACATGTCTGCATTGTTGGGGGCAGTCACGGTTAGACAAAAACCCGGAAAGAAAGTAAAAATGGTAGTAAAAAGGCAGCTAATCACCCCACTAATCCGTCTGTGAAAGAGAGCGGCTTGCTGCAGCACTTCCTTTATGCTGCGTCGATACCACAGGGGGATAAACACAATGCTGAGCCAGCATCCAGCAACAACCTCACCAACACTGCAAACACGGAGGATTACCTCATTATATGTCTGTTAACACGTTTAAATCTACTGACAAACACATTTGTCGATGTGACGTAACCCACCCTCTGACAAGAGGTCCTCCACTCTTCATCCACTGCTTTTAGGTTGAGATAAAATAAATACATTTTGCTGTGAAAGAACTAAACTTCTACACTTTTTCAAGATGGTTTGTTTAGTTTGTTGCTGTTTTCTTAACCGAACTGCGTCTGTGTTACTCTGTAAATGTACGTGTGCTGAGTATAGATAGAGTTTATATGCTGATGGTGCTGAATGTATCGGTCTGCTGGGAGGTGAGTAAACCAGAGGACTGACTAAAAACCCCCATCAGGTGGATCAGGCAAACAAACAACTTCAAGATTTAAATTCAAGATTTTATTAATTGTCATTTCACTGGGTATTTCCATACTCAGGATAAAACACTGTTTCATGCCAGCTATGCAGTGCTTTAAACCAGGGGTTCTTAACCTTTTTGACCTTGGGGCCCAATTTGTTGAACATAAAGTGGCACGAGGCCCAGTCAGACATGTAC